TTTGAGCAAAAAATTAACAATAATAAAATTAAACAAAAAGAAAAAGAAAAACAGCCACCACCCAATCAAGGCGGTCGCACCAAAAGAAAGTGAAATGCGATTTGAGGATGGAGGAATGACGAGAAAAGAGCGAAGTGGGGATGGCAGAGGGAGTGAGGATGGAGGAACGACAAGAATAGAGCGAAGTGGGGATGGTGAAACGGTATTCACCAGTTCGCAGTAGCTGATGCAGATCTCAGGGCTCGATCCCTAGCTCCCCATCTTACCTGTGTACAGTACCGGTGTCAACCCGTAGATTTGAACCTGCTTCCTGTAGGACCGCTAGTGGTAGGTAGGTTTTCGTAAGTCACAGGGTAGAAGGGATTCAAACTGTAGACCTGTAGGGTAGGAGCCTAGACAGTTCAGAGGTTGTTGCTGTAGGCTGCCTGAAGGGTCAAGGTCGTAGCTGCTACTTACCTGAAATGGCAAAGTCGTAGCTGCTACAGTACCGAAAGGCCAAGTTGAGGTTTCTAGAAGTGGCCTTTTGGAGTGAGCCTGCGTTAAATAGAGGCAAGTGGTCAAGCGGTGGTAGTCCACCTAGTACAGTCAGCAGTCCCAGTCCACCCAGTCCGGTCCAGTCCAGTAAGTACCATCTGGGACTGTGTGCACGATGGGCCAGGGGTACAGGGCAGACCAACGCAGCACAGAAGTATAAATCAAGAGGCTGCGCCCAGCCATTCATTCATTCCTGCGGAAGCCATGTGGAAGCGCTGCCTAAGCAGCTTGTGCGAGGAGGTCTGCAGAAGGCCCGAAGACGAAGTGGGCGAGAGTGAAGTAGTATAGCCATAGCGATAGGTTAGCGGCAGCCATAGCTGCCATAGCTGTAGCATAGGGTGCAGTGTGTGTGTGTTACGTGAGTGTTTAGGGTGATGCGTGTGGGACATCCAGGGTGATCCAGAGTGTGAACAGTGAGTTGTTTGGGCGCACAGCCGCCATAGCCGATTACAAGAGAACTCTTATCTGGTTGCGATATCTCTGAGTACTGAGTGGGCGCAGGTCACCAGTTTGCTGTATCGCTGTTCACATGCATGAAAAGAGCGAATGAGTCGAGTCTGATTGCACTGGTATCGGAGCAGGTACCCGCTGTTCCACGCGCCGTCGTGTGCAGGGCCGATGCGCCATAGCTGAGGTGGCGACCGAAGGAGGCAGTCCGCTATAGCGGACCTTGGGTTGAAGAAGCCGCCGCGCACCTGCAGTCAGAGACCACGACGAAGAAGAAGACTGAGAGAGAGAGAGATGAGAGATACAAGATTGGGTTCGTACCTGCTGCGCTGAAGGTACCGCTACGGCGGGAGAGAGAGAGAGAGAGAGAGAGAGAGAGAGAGAGAGAGAGAGAGAGAGAGAGAGAGAGAGAGATGATCGATCCAAGATTGGTTGTCACTTACCTGTAAGGCGAGTTGCGGAGTCCGGTGGAAAAGGAAGATAGCGGCCATAGCCGCGGAGCAACAACACAAAGTACCGGAGGAGAGAGAAAGGGAGGACAGAGAAGGAGGGACTAAGGAGAGAGAA